ATGGACTGGATTCCTTGAATTTCTTCTAGTTTATAGTAGATTTACTCCCAGGTTTTCACTCCGTGTTTCTGAAGTCTCAGCAAAACTGGTGTTGGGACATGAAGATTCAGGGCTGGAAGTGACATCCTTACATGAACTTTCCCTAAGTCATTAACCACCAGACAGATTACCTGTTTATTTGTAATTTTATTTATTTATTTGAGAGGAAGGGGAGGCACACACATACACATCGATTTGTTGTTCCACTTACATATGCATTCATTGGTTGCTTCTTGTATGTGCCCTGACCAGGGATTGAACCTGAAACCTTGGTGTATCAGGATGATGCTCCAACCAACTGAGTCAGCTGGCCAGGGCCGTACCTTCTTATTTGAAAAGGATATTAACTCGGGAACAGCCAGATAGAAGAGTTGTGTAGGGCAAAGTATGTGGGAAAGGGCCTGGAGATTCCATGTCCTCTGAGTGTGCTGTACACTCTTTCCCAGTTTTCCCAAGTTCACCAGTCTGGAAGCTCTCAGACAAGCTTCTTAGTTCCTTGACTTGAAGCTTCTTCCTAGTTCCTTCCTTCTGTGTACTGTGCAGATAACATAAACTTTGATTATGTCTCTATACATAAAGCTTGTTTGGTGTTCTGACTTCTTGTGAATGACTCCAGGGATGACATGGACTTGAACCTGCTGTATAGCTTCATTGAGGGACTTTATTTATTTTTACCTGTAAACCTTTGTCCTCTTCCCAACAATGGTACTGATGATGCCTGTGACCCACTTGCATCAGTGCCTCACTGTTTGGGTTTTGAGTTTTTGAAAACTTTGCCTTCTTGGGTGCAGACTTGGTTACATATTTGTCAAACTACACTTTGTTATATTTGAGCCATTTCTGTGTTTGAGTTGGAGGTCAGGTGGTCTTTCCACATCTGGAAAGACATAGTTGTCTATCTTGAGTGGAAGTCCACCAGTGAGTTTACTGAAACAAAGTCCCCTTAACACTCTGGAGATCAACTAGTTTGTAAAATTGTGTATTTTGGCCTTTTAAAAAGTCTCCCTCACTCCCTCCCATTCTTCCCCGTAATTACACATTTCAGTCAAGTGGCATTGAAAAGAAATTAATCTAATAGACATCAGTGGACTCTCAAAAGTTGACCTTTGAAGAAATGAAATCAGGACTAGGAACATTATACATAAAAGTGGTCAGAAGCTTTGGCTCTGGAGTTTGGGTTTCAGGGTTTTTTTTCCTTTTTTCTTTTAAATATTTATTTTTAGAGAGAGGGGAAGGGAAGGAGATAGAGTGGGAGAGAAACATCAGTGTGTGGTTGCCTCTCATGTGTCCCCTATTGGGGACCCGTCGTGCAACCCAGGCATGTGGCCTGACTGGGATTCGAACTGGCAGCCCTTTGCTTCACAGGCCCGTGCTCAATCCACTGAGCTACACCAGCCAGGGTGGGTTTCAGTTTTATATAATCTTCAGAACTCACCATGACAACTAGCGCTAAGAGAGATTGAGTCTGGAGCACACTCATCTGATCTACACTTACTACGAGGGCATGCTTGCCCATAAATTCAAATGGGACGTGGCTCTCACTTTTAAAACAAACTTTTGTATAATTTTTAAATGTATGCATAAATATGGAAGTAAATAGCAAAAATTTGCCTGAAGAAGCTTTAACTCATTTTGTCTTGGTGGTGAGACACCTTGGTTTCTGGGTAACCCGACGTAGATACTTACCATCGGGGTGGGGTTTGCTGATGTCCACAGACTTTTTTCCCTTGTGTCTCATTGGGGCTTCTTTAATGCCTCAAATTTCTAAATGAAGCTGTGAAAACCTTTACGGCAGATGAGGGCCTTTCTCAGATGTACCCCCACTCCTTGTGTACTCTGGGTGGGGTTTCTTCTACAGCGTTCGGATACCGTTTTGCCATCTATATTTTTTGAAATTGCTTGAATGCGGATTTCTGTGCCTCGTCCCTTCCTCCACCTGAGTTTTTTGAATATTGTGTTTATCTTCTAAATTCCTTAGTGTTATTTTAACGTGTATTTCAAGTGAGAAGAATTTGTGTTGTCATTTCCTGTGATGTCAGCTTGCCAGACTAAAGTAGAAATTTTAAGAATCTGAGAATTTACTGAGTTCAGAAATAACCCAAAACAACTGGTATGACTTACATTAAATCACTCATTTATACAGGTATAATGGATACTTTTACCTGGATAGTACTTGTAATGGGTAATATTGAGTGTTTTCTTGCTCAGAACAGAATGTCTCTCCATCTTGTGTATCCTTCCACAAAAATGTTCCTTAATTTGGATGTTGCAAATTTCTTAACTTTTAAAATTATGTATACATCAATTTATATGTAAAATTATATTTCTTTTTTATAGTCTTGTATTTAGAATTTTTTTTTAAATTTAAGAGAGAGGGGAAGGGAGGGAGAATTAGAGGGAGAGAAACATGGATGTGTGAGAGAGAAACTTCAGTTGCTTCTCCCATGCACCTGGCAGGGGACTGAACCCTCAACCCAGGTGTGTGCCTTCACTATGAATCAAAATGGTGACCTTTTGCTTTGTGGAACCATGCCCAACAAACTGACCCATGCCAGCCAGGGCTAGCCTCCTGTTTTTTTTTTTTTTTTTTCCATTTCTGAATTTAGCACCTGCTGTTCTTGGTTTGCATTTTTTATCCTTTTCTAGTTCCGTTAGGAATCCCCAAGACCACCTTCAGGGTCAGTGATTGGCTAGGACTCTAAGGATTTAGAAAAACTGTTAGACTCAGGGTTATGTTTTATTACAGTGAAAGGATACAGATTAAAATTAGCAAAGACAAAAGGTGCATGGTGTGAAGTCCAGGAGGAAGCAGGAACAAGCTTCCAAGTATCTCCTTTCAGTGGAGTTTCCCTGGGAGATACTTAATTCTCCCAGTAACAGTGTGTCAGTATGCAGGAGTACTGCCAACCAGGGAAGCTCACCTGAGCCTTCCTGTCCAGGGTTTTTTGTTGGGGGAGGGGGTCAGTCATGTAGAGGATGCAACCTTCACAGAACTGACACCACCTACTTGGACTCCAACCATCCCCAGAGGTCAAACCGAATACAGCGTGGCCCAAGGTCTCACTCAGGTATACAAAAAATACTCTTACCAGGCATAATATTTCGAGAGTCATCTCCCAGAAGCCAGTCAAGGGCAAGTGTTGAGGACAGCCTTCCTGGAATGTGCAGAGCTTGAGGAACGTAGGCCAGCCAAGCAAACCCTTCCTTGTGTGTTAGTAAATACATGTTAACCCTTCAAGGCCGTATTTCATTGCCACCTCTTCAGTGAGAACTTGCCCGGTTCACTGTGAGAAGTCAGTTGCTCCCATATTTCTGCTTCTACAATTACATATGCTTATTTCCTTTGTAGTTATATTACACTCTTTAGTTCTTAAAAGGTTTTTGACTCAAGCCATCTCAAAGTGTAAAAATATTTATATTCTTTTTCCCCTTTCTTCTCACCATACCTTTGATTTGAAAAAAATATATATTCCTTTGAGCAAGATCTTTGTTTGCATTTTGTATTATAAAAGCAGTATTTTTCAAACATACAATTATAAACTTGAGTTTGTTTTAACAGTGTATATGTGTCTACTGGGAGAGTGATATTCCTACTTTTAGAATGACGTATTATCGATGTTCCCACTCTCCATTAGAATTACAGTATAAGTTTCTGTAGTTTGTGTATTCACAACTCTGGGGGACTCTTGCTAACATCCTAGTCTCTTTCTGGTGCTTCCCATAGCTGTGCATGATATAAATGGTAAAAATTGTATACTAGTCTTGAACACTTTCTTGAAGCAAGGATTATGTCATTTATGCTATAGCCTCAATTTTATGGCTGACACATACAGTAATCAGTTTGCCGTGTTGACTGTTGTGTTGTTTTTTAGTTCCTAACTGTAACTTCTCTGTGCTACCTCAGCAGGTTTATCTGTTTTTACAGATGCTGGAACACTAGCCGATTAAGGCACAGATGCTTTTTCTTTCTACACTAGCATGAATTTAAGTAGTACTGAACCAAGTCAGAATTTATAAAATGATAGACTGCGTCATAAACGTGGGGCCTTAATGCAATAGATTTTATTTTCTTACCGTTCTAGAGGCTAAAAGTTTGAATTTGGGGTTTTTTCTTTTTTAAGATTTTATTTATTTATTTTTAGAGAAGGGTATGGGGAGGGAGAAAGGAAGAGAAGCATCATTTATGGTTACTTCTCACGGGCCCCCAACTGGGGACCTGGCCCACAATTCAGGCATGTGTCCTAGACTGGGAATCAAACTGGCCACCCTTTGGTTCCCAGGCAGGCACTCATTCCACTGAGCCACACCAGCCAAGGCTGAATTCATTTGTACTGGGCTGAAGTCAAAGTGTGTTTCAGAGTCAAAGTTTTGTCAGCAGCTCTGGCTCTTTCTAGTAGCTTTGAGAAAAGAATCTGCTTCTTTGTCTTTTTCAGCTAATAGTGGCTACCTGTATTTCTTAGCTTGTGGCTCCATCTTAAAAGCTGCCATTATCAGTTGGTTTCTCTTTGTTTTGTAATCTAATCTTCTGCTCCCTTCTTGTAAAATCACTTGTGACGGCATTTAGGGCCCTTCAGATAATCCAGGACAACATTCCCATTTTGAGAGCGTTAATTTAATCACATCTGCAGAATCTTTTTGCTGTGTAAAGTGACATTGACAGGTTTTCCAAGAAGTAGGATCTGGGTATCTTTGGGGACCATTACTCAGCCAATCATATCATAATAAAGACTCACTTTTAAACTTTTCTCTATTTTTTTGCATATTAATGCTTGCTTTCTCTTCCTAAATTAGGGTATCATTTTATGTCCCCAATGGAATAACTCACTGGGTTATTTTACTTTGCTCTCAGTGCTCATTTCTTTGGTCTTGTCTGTTACATATTGAATGAGTAGTTTTCGTATGGGCATCATGCACAATTTTCCTGAAAAAATAGTTCTTAATGTTATCGTTTTGTGTTGTAGTTGGTGTAATACGGTGCCCAGTATGCCGCCAAGAATGCAGACAGATAGACCTTGTGGATAATTATTTTGTGAAAGATACATCTGAAGCTCCTAGCAGTTCTGATGAGAAATCAGAACAGGTATGCTTCTCAATTTTTCTTTATATTCCTATCTTGATATTAAAATGTAAATTATTAGAAAAACATACTTAGATTGTTACATAAATTAGACTAGTTCTGCTATAGTTTCATCTTTCAAATTGAAAATAAAGGGTATCTTCTGCATCTGCTCAGAACTGGCTAAATGAGACAATAGACCATTACTGAAAAGTCAAAATCTTGTATAGATTTTGTGTTCTGAGATTTAGATTGTTATCAACGTGAATGTTTGATCCGGAAGGAAAAGCATTTTGTTAAAGATAAATGGTTAACAAAATTATTTCATATTAGGTGCAGTGAATTGGTATTTTGGGAAGCAGGTTCGTTTTTACTTTTTATTTCGTGGATCTCTATTTTGTAAATACAATGTAGATTAGTATTTATTTCCTCTTTTAGGTATGTACTAGTTGTGAAGACAATGCAAGTGCAGTTGGCTTTTGTGTAGAATGTGGAGAGTGGCTATGTAAGACATGTATTGAAGCCCATCAAAGAGTAAAATTCACTAAAGATCACTTGATCAGGAAGAAAGAAGATGTCTCAGGTAAGATAGCAGCAGTTTTAATGATTACTATTAATCTCCCTCTTTTGCCCCTATAGCATTTCTGCGTGTTCTTTATAAGCTTTGGATACCAGTATCAATAAGAATTTTGAAAGTTAGACCAAAGTGTTGTTTAGTTTAAAAATATATGTTTTATTTTACTACAGAGTCTGTTGGAGCATCTGGTCAGCGCCCTGTTTTCTGCCCTGTACACAAACAAGAACAGTTGAAACTTTTCTGTGAGACATGCGATAGACTGACATGTAGAGACTGTCAGCTATTGGAACACAAAGAACATAGGTACAGAAATCATAATTGCTTATCAAGAAATATTATAAAAATTCTTAAAAAGTTCTTATTTTTCTTCCTGAAGCAAATATTTACTCCATATTTTTGTTTGTTAGCATTTTAATTCACAACTTTGTATATTTCTTAAAATATGTTTTTGATAAGTTATTTAATGATTTCCACATTCATATCTAACAGTCTTATGATTTGTTAAAAATGTGTTATAAGAGCTTGGGTTTGTAGGAATGAAGTGGTATTTCTTTGTTCTGCCTTGGTTCAGACACGCTTTTTTCCAGCACTGTGGGATTTAGGCTGTGGGCTGCCACACAAAACAGTAATGCTCCCCTGGGTGTGGATAAATGGTACCCATTTGAACGAGAAAGCATAAATATACCAATTTCATGTTAGATATTACAGTGCAGAAAAACTAGAGATTGATGAGCATCTAGGTAAGCGTAGTTACTAATTCTTTAATAGGTTAGTATTTCACCTCTGTTATACCCACAGAATTCAATAATAATTCACTTATCACCACTCTGTTACATTCTAACTGTTCTGGAAATGTACTGAAATGTCTAGTTATATAACAACATCCTCTAGTAATTTTCCCAGTTGCTATGACATCTATTTATTACAGTTAAAAAGATGGTCTTGCTTACCTATACAGCATTTTCTAAAGTGTTTTTCTTACAATAGTTCTGCTGAATTGATGGAAATAGGTTTTATGAACCTCCTGTCACAAAAGAGTAGGTTGAGTTGATCAACCACACTTAAATGTGTTTCTTAACTGTAAGATGTCTTAGAGCTTTGAATTTGTTCTCTTCACTGGAATTCTTTTGGAATTCTCCTAAAGAGGAGGGGCTGCATTAGTCCCAGTTTGTGCCGGGCACTTTCTGAATACTGCACCTTGGTGTAACTCACACCAGCTACCCATGAAGTGTTGGTGTCACGACTGTGGAAGGAGAGGGAGCTCCCAGAAAGGTTCAATGATCTGCACAGGGTCTCACCGTACGTGGGAGCCAGGATTTGAACACTGGTGGTCATGCTCCGCGTCTCCTTTAGCTCATGTGCTTATTTCCTCCCGTATGGAGTATAGAACACAGTATGTGAATACAGTATTCGGAATCTCTCAAAATTGACTGTATATAAAGGTAATGCCCTTTGTTCTTTTTCAAGGCTGCTCTTACTATTTGACAGAGCATTTGTTTATAAATCTACTTAAAATTTCTGTGTTCTTAATTTGGCCCAGAATGTTTCATTTTGGCTAATGTGTTACTTCATGTTACTAATCTTATGGTTGCCATTACCTCAGGGCCAAATCTTACCATTGATTGTTCTGTACTAATCTTAGTAAGACGTTGGATTACCTTTCTCACAGCTGCATTCAGATGTTTTGAGAAATCTTACATTTACTAGAGCTTTTTTTTTTTAAAGAAAGAGCTTCTGCAGCATTTTTTTTTAATGGTCTGGGACCTTTGAGCTAAAGTGTCCGCCAGGTTGCCCCGAGCTTATACTGCTTGGAAGAGAGTTAAGCTTTTTATTTTATTTTTATTTTATTTTATTGATTTATCTTCAGAGGGGAAGGGAAGGAGAGAAGGAGAGAAATATCAATGTATGATTGCCTGTCATGGGTCCCCTGCTGGGAACTGGTCTGCAACCCAGGCATGTGCCATGACTGGGAATCAAACTGCAATACTCTGGTTCACAGGCCTGCGCTCAGTCCACTGAGCTACGCCAGCCAGGACTAGAGCTTTTTAAATTGATGACGAGAAGCAAAAAGAACGGGAAGGTGATGTCCTTTTTCTCAAGGAAGAATAGCCTCAACCACCCCTCTCTCAAACTTCGACCGTGGTCCTTTTCTTTATTATTGTTTTCCTTGACCACTTATATCCAAGTCCTGATTATCTCTGGACTGTTCTGTCTCCTTTCTTTGTTTCACACTCTTTACCTTTCCTGGACAGGCTATCACCGAGCCCATGTCGTTGGAATGAGAAGCTTAGCTGCCTGTTACCACAGCACATTTATAATTGGTGCAGTGGCTTTGAGGTTCACCTTGTTCAATTCATTCTGTCCACATTGCGGCCAGGCTTATTTTGTAAGGTATAGAGTCTCCACCCTCCTCCCTGCCTTCTTTTAAACACCCCTCAGGGGTTCCCCCCCAGTCAGTTTAGAGTGTTCATTCAGTGTAGCATCCTTAATATTGAGTCTCACCAGAGTCTCTCTTCACCATCTGTATGAAGTTAGGAAATAATCCACAAAACCACCCTCACTTACACCAATTGCAGAGTTCGGTAAAAACTCAAGCATAGGTTTTCGGGTTTGAACAGCATACAGTTCAGCTCACCGATACGATTTGCTATTACCTTCTTCAGTTAGAGTGGTCGCTGTCCAGATAGACTGCTGAACCCTCACCTGGGAACTGCCATTTATAAATGAAGCAGTTCCCTGTTGGTCAACAAAGAGCTGTTCATAGGATAGCACCTGTGCGATCGCAGAATTCAGCAGCTCCCCAAGTGGTTCCAAATTCATGCTTACGGGAAGGGAGGACAGCTACCTGCTCACAAATACCATAAACAGCCTTTGCATCCTCCTGGTTGCATGTTCCTGCCCAGAACTGTTCTAGGCAGTGCCTTCCTTATTAGAGTGTCTTCCAGCCTAGGACATGAGTATCTCAGGTTTCAGGCTTATTTCACATTCTTCAGGTGTAGAGTTGGTCTCAATGGCTAACAGCAAGCTAGTAACTTGCTCTTAAATGACATATATTTACCAAAGCATCCAGAAATTTTCTGGTCCAAAAATCTCAGTGGTTGCTGAGCTCTCATAGGTTTGTGCTATAAACTTCTGTCTGCATAATCCATGTTGCTTAACACTTCCAAAATCACGTCTAAGTGTGGATCGTAGGGGCCCAAAACCATCTAGAGAGAGACTCCTTTTTGCAGTTCAGACATGGCCTGCCCCATTCATGCTAGCATCGGAAGAAAGATCATTTGTGCCTTAATTGGCTAGTGTCCCAGCATCTGTAAAAGCAGATAAACCTGCTGAGGTAGCATACGGGAGTGAAAGTTAGGAACTGAAAAATAGCATCACAGTCAACACAGCAAACTGATTACTATATGTGATAGTAATAAAATGGAGGATACATCGCCCTGGCTGGTGTAGCACAGTGGATTGAGCGAGGGCCTGCGAACCACAGGATCGCGGTTTGATTCCTAGTTTGATTCCCAGTCAGGGCACATGCCTGGGTTGCAGGCCGGTTCCCAGCAGGGGGCGCACAAAAGGCAACCATACATTGATGTTTCTCTCCCTCTCTCCTTCCCCCCTTCCCCTCCAAAGATAAATAAATACAATCTTTAAAAAAAAATGGAGGATACAGCATAAATGACACATCCTTGCTTTCAAGAAAGGGTTCAAGACTATACAATTTTTACCATTTATATCACGCACAGCTATAGGAAGGACCAGAAAGAGACCAGGATGTTAGCAAGAGTCCCCAAGAGTTGTGAATACACAAACTTCAGAAACTTATACAGTAATTCTAATGGGAAGTGGAAACATTGATAAAATGTCATTGTAAAAGTAGGAATATCATCCTCGAAATAGACACATGTACACTGTTAAACTCAAGTTTATAATTGTATGTTTGAAAAGATACTGTTTTTATAATACAAAATGTAAACAAAGATCTTACTTGCGCAAAGGAAATACATAAAATCAACCGGCTTCTTGTTTAGTTCTAAAAGTAAGTGGCAAAAGTGATTTAGTTTATTTACCCGTGCATGTTGAGGGTGACTTTTGCCTAGGTTATTCCTGAGGATTTCTCCAGCTTTAGCAGGTCCTTGGACCTGTTAACAGCCTTTCTGTTAGTTGTGTGTGTTGCCAACGCAGTGAAGTCTTCACTTTCTGATATCGTGATCCCATCCATATAGTGTATTATATACTCAGTACGTGCATCAGGTCCAAATTCCTTCTAACCAAATTATACCAGTAACTGGTGAATTGAAATAGCCCTGTGGCAGTATACTAAATGTAAACTGGGATCCTTACACAGGAAGGAAAATTGCTGTTGGCATTTTTTTGGGATTGAGGCAGAGAAGAAAACATTTGCAGGATCAGTCACTGAGTACCTTGCTCCTTTAGCCTGCTATATGCTTTTTTGTGCCGTGGAAACCATATCAGGGACTGGTGGTACCATGGTGGCATGATCGTATTCAAGCTTTAACATAATAATCTACCGTTAGTCTTGATGAGCTATCCGCGTCTTCACAGGCCACAGAGGGTTAACTTCGGTACAGAGAATTCAGTGGTACCAGCCCTTCAGCTTCTGATTTGTTGGTAAAGTGGTAGTCTCTTTGTGTCCACCATGTTTCCTACAGTGTCTCACGTTAACAACTTCTGTGAGCTCAGACATTTCCAGTGGTTCCCATTTACCGTGGACTAATCAAGCCTGGCCTTGCGACGAAATTATATGCATTTTTATTTTACAATAGCAGCCTGACACATTGTCCAGCCCATTAATACATTTATGTAAAGGAGATGTAATCGCTTCACATAACAGTCTGTTCATACATGACATTTTTGTCCAAATTCTGTCAACCATTGCCTCATCTCCAATTAGTGCCCATTGGGACTTAAGCCATAGTGCATCGGTCTCCCATGCACTGGGAGACCCAGACCTGGTCAGGGAGTCCCAGCAACGTTTCTTACTCATCTCCTGGCTGTTTTATGCACACGAGGGCCTGTTGCCTTGGTTCTCCATCTTGGGGTTGAAGCAGAAGACTCTGGCCTCTTCTCCAGACTTCAGTTTGGTTAATCCTCATTGTCATATTTGCCCTCCAGCTTTTTTTTTTTTTTTAATCTTTAGATAGGGAGGGAGGAGAGAGAGAGAGATATCAATGTATGGTTGCCTGTCATTCATCCCTGCTGGGAACTGGCCTGCAACCCAGGCATGTGCCCTGACTGGGAATTGAACCATGATCTTCTGGTTCACAGGCCCGCTCTCAATCCACTGAGTT